CATGTGAGGAGTTTCACCACGTTCACCCGGTACGGTAAATCCCGGCGCCCACAACACTATCGATGCCCAGGGGCATGTGGGGGGCCTTACCGTATGGGAGTCAATGGCGCCCACAATACTATAGAGGGAAAAGTCAGTGCCTACAATACTGTTTGTGTCAGGGCGATTGCAGAGTATTGTTCCTGCAGGTGTACAGGGTATGGTCCCTGGTATCATGGTTTGATTTGTACGCCCTGCCTTGCTTTCTCCATTTGTCCCCTGATCCTTTTCGAGCAGGCGTCCCCGGTCGGTTGGCCCTAGTCGGCTCTGGTTGCGCCAGTCGGAGAAGAGCGGTGAGCAGGGTTTCTGCGAACCCCGGTCGAAGACGTGGGGTCGGAGTCAGAAGTAGTGCTTGGGCCAGGCCTTCCGATCGGAGAGGCCGTCCGGAGGCGGCTGGAGTCCGAAGTGAGCGCTCCGGTCGGAGAGGTGGGCCGAAGTAGTCGACAAGTGGGCGTTGTTCCTCTTCAGCCAGACCTTCCGGTCGGTGACTGGACCGCCCTTTCGGCCTGTTGTTTTAGATTCTTGGGCCGGCCCATGAGTTGCGTGCTGTCTGCTTAGACCGAGCCTTGGCGTAGAAGCCGGTCTCCGAGGGACCCCGGCTTTATGAACCCGACACAAATAATAATACAATGTAAGATAAATTAACGGCTAAAGTATATTTTAAAAGAATCTCTCAATCTAATGGCTAACGATTAATATAAAGGGGTAGTGAAGGTATGAGGGTTTTGATTATGAAGAAATAGGCATCAAATTTCACCTCAACGAGGGTTGAACTACAGTGAAGGCGTCCGTGTTGCGCCGGCGTGCAGGCGCGGCGGTGCGGGCGCGGCGGCGGCGACGCTGCAGGCAGGAGGGAGGGCGGGCGGCTCGCGGGCAGGCGGGAGGGAGGGCGGCTCGCGGGCGTTATTTATCTGGTCCTCCCGCGCCGTGGGCTATGGCGTGGCAGTTATCGGTGGCGCGGCAGACCCTGCCACGTCACCGGTCAACAGCTCCGATCGTCGTCACGTCATCCTCCCGCCGCGCCACCATGCATGGCGTGACCAAAAGTGTTAGTTTTGAAAGAAAAAAAACAATGTTAAATTTAAAATTAGTTTAAAAAGTGTTAAAAATAAAAAAAGATCCCCAGTTGACATGCTTCTTTCCTGTAAACCCTGGTTGGATACAAAGTTTTTTTTTTAGTTTTACATAAATACTGTGGTTTTTGGAAAATACTTAGGTCTCATGTAGAAAGGAGGTGTTTGGATAGAACAAAGCTTGGAGTTTTAAAAACTGGAGTATTTACAAAACTACAGTATTTTTTCTGTTCTGGAAACTCCACCAAGACCCTCTTTTTTCTTGACAGAGCTCGGCGCGCGTACTCCTCTTGTGGCGCGCGTACTCATTTTCACTACGCGCCTTCCTTTTTTCTTTTTTTCTTTTTTTGCTGGTGCATTCTTCTTTTGCTTGAGCCCCTCCCACTCCACAGCCCGTGTCCCGTGCTGGTTCGGTGGTTTCATAAGATCCGATCAATAGGGGGAAAAACTACAGCAAGACTAGTAACAGAAATAAATGTGATCCGATCAAGGACAGTTTGACTGCTCATCCAATCTGTTTAATGTAGTAGTATAGTACTATAAACATTCATTTAAATAAAAATGAATTCATACGTATGTATAGATACATGCTATTTTTAGCAGCAAAGACATAAACAACTAGCCTCAAAAGAACGTATTGCTGAGTAGCCAAACACGTCATGGCTTTTTTTGGAACAGAGAAACATTGTGGTTTCTAAATACTATGGAATTGTATGTCTACGGTTTTTAAAACCATGGTTTAGCAATACTACAGTTTTAGAAAGGGTTATTTGGGATCACGCCATTATAATTCTTCAACTTTAGAGATGTGACATTACAATTCACCTATTCTGAAATTTGCCATTATAATTCACCTATTCTGAAACTTGCCATTACAATTCTTCTACTACCTGATACTTGCCAATTTCTATGTCTTTCGAGTGTCTTGGCCCACTGTCAGGCCGTATACGTGTACACATCTTCCGTATGGACCAAAACACCCCATGTTGCTTCTCTCCCTCCACTCGTGAGCCCCACACGTCAGATTCTCCTTCAACCTCCAGCAGTCTTACTCCTTGAGTCTCCTCTTCCTCCACCGTCCAACGAGGGGGAGGGCAGGAGGGGCGGCGGCGACTGCACGCCCGCGCGCCCGTGTGGCGGCGGCGGCGGCGGCGGTGGTCGCTTGCTTGCGCGCGACCATGGTGGCGCAGGGATGCTGCTCAAGCTGTTCCTGGGGCTCTGCTGCTCGGCATGGTGGTGGTGTTGTCCGTGTTCGCCGTGTTCCTGGCGTAGCACGCGGGGGAGGTGGCGGCGGCCGCGCCCGCCCTGTTCTGGCCGTGCCTCGGGGCGGCGGCTGAGTTGGGCTTGTTGAGGGCCGGCATGAGCGGAGGGCGCGAGGGATGGGCTGGATCTGCGCGGCGGCGGCTGCTGCTCGCCCGCGTGCCTGCGGGAGCATGGCAAGCGGCCAGTGGCAGCGCACGCTCGGGTTAGTAGGGCACGCTAGTGCAAGCACGGCAAGCAGCGAGCGGCTACAGCGGGCGGCGGGTTAGCGAGCAGGAGCCGCGGGCCATGGCTGCCGGCGTCGGGGAGAGGGCTGTCCGGAACTCGCGTGCGGCCATGACCTGGACGGAGCTCCCACGCTCGAGGTTGGGCTCGAAGTGTCCGCCCGCCCCTCCCATCTCGCGCGGACGCCGTCCTTCCAGGATGGCTGGAGGTTGAAGGAGAATCTGACGTGTGGGGCCCACACGTCAGTGAGTGGAGGGAGAGAAGCAGCAGGGGGTGTTTTGGTCCATACGGAAGATGTGTACACGTATATGGCCTGACAGTGGGCTTAGACACCCGGAAGACGTAGAAAATGGTAAGTATCAGGTGGAAGAAGAATTATAATGGCAAGTTTCAGAATAGATGAATTGTAATGGCAGATCTCCAAAGTTGAAGAATTATAATGGCGTGGATCCAAATAGCCCTTTTAGAAAACAACAACACCCAAACGAAACCGTATATGTATGTACAAATACATACCCCACAATTCAATTCCGACATGTCACTTTCTCTGTTCGTATTTTTATGCGCAAGGAATAATAAACTTGGAGTCGTTCCTGTTACATGCTCAGTTGTAGGTCTAGGGTGTTGAGGACAGTCACTCTTTCTTTGGTCTTTTTTTTTATTCCTGCTATGTTTATTCTAGGTCACTAACTACTGTTTTAATGGTTTGTAATTTGTGCTATGAGATTTTCTCTCATAGCTGTGTCGTATAATTCACTCCTCCTGATAAAAAAAGGGGCTATATTTTGCGCTCGAGCGAAAAAAACGAGTCGTGTGCACGTGGTTGGTGGGTCGGCCCTGCTTCATTCTCGTCCTGCTCATGTCTCCGTAATTCGCAGTATATTATTATATTTTCTTTCGGAATGTCTGCTCTCTGGGTATAGTACATTACTGTACACTACTAGTGCAGTCTAGCGCAATAAGCAACGCGTGTGGATTCTTTTCTATTCTTTTCGTAACAGAACGCGAGGGATGACGCCGCGCTGGCGAAGGGTGGCCAGCGCTGCGCATGTGGTACATGCTGAAAACAATCAAGATCCGAGCATTGATCAGGCCGTTTCTTGTCCTCAAGGGGTGGAAGGATTGTTGCGTTGCGTGCGTGCTCATTCGGTTGGGCTGGCGTGTTCTCAGCTCGAACCTTTTTCTGTTTGTTGTTTTACAGTAAATTATTTCTAGACCCCAGAATTTATTTCTCGATATAGCGGTAAATGATGTACCCCTCGAGGATTGAATGAGGTATTTGCTACTCGCGGTCCATCATACAGCTATCAGGAACAGTAGAAAGTACGTGTACGTATTTATTGGTAGCTTGTGGAGCACGGACAACTCGCGGTCACGAGCTTACTCATGAGAACACGAGTGGTCACCGAGCCTGATGAAAAGTGAAAAGAAAAGAGAGACATGCATATATCCATGTGTTGTGATGATCATGCTCGCCCAGCTCATTCGCCCTCATCGTCCGCGCAGAGGTGTGTCAGTGTGTCCCTCCTCATCATCCGCGCGCACGCGCAGCTCCATGTCGACCCTGATTGCTGTCGTGGAAAAGATATCGAGTTCACTCATCGTTCATCAATGCCGCTACTGGAGTACTGGGTTCGGCGGGGCTGTAGGAATCGCAGGACAAACCGACGGACCGAGTAGTAGCCGACGGACGGACGGACCCACCCAAGCGATACAAATACAAATGTGAAGTGTCCCGCGCGCGCATGTCGAGGATGACCGGTTGCTGGGACTACGACCCGGTTGCCCGTTCGCGTGCTGGGTCAGGGTCACCGGACGCTCGCTCGCTCAACGGGCAACCGCGCGCCACGCGATGATGCCGTGCCACGCGATGATGCCCTCAATCCGGCAGCCGGCACGAGCCGCGGGGGACGCTTTCCTCCCCGCCCCCGAGACCGAGGTTCTTGCGGGGGACACTCCGCACTCGGCACGGCCAGGAACCAAGGCCGCCGAGCGCGGCTCCGCTCCGCTGGACTCGCGTCGCACCGCCGTGACGGGCTCGTAAAAAACCATGTATTTCTCTACTGTATGTATGTACTGGTAGCTTTCTTAATCACACGCCTAGATCCAAACATGTGCGGCAAATTAAGACCACGACCCTGCCCCCATGTGCGCTGCTTTACGCATCTATACAATTCCACAGCACACGGAGATCCAAATTCACTACACCCTGCACGGACCCCCGTTCGTGCACCGACCCCAGATGGTAAAAACCGAATCAATGTCGCTGCGACCATCTACGTACACGCCTGCTCCATATACGGCCTACGCGCGCGTACAACATGTACCGTACTAGTAGCTGTTGGTGACGCATCGCCGTATCGTGCGTACTACGCCGGTCCGTCCACCGGACTCGCGCGGCGGTTACCTCGACATGCTGGCGTTGCTGGACGTGAAGCTGCTGACGCCGCTGCTGGAGCTGGTACCGGAACCGGACCCGGACCCTCCCAGCGCCGCGGGGTCCTTGCAGCTCCCCCCCTTCAGGCACTGCGTCTCCCGGCGGTCCGCGAAGGACAGGAACGCCCGGATGCTGCTGCGGCGGGAGCGGGAGATGGCGCCGTCGGGCCCCGTGGCCACCGCGTCCCGCGGCAGGGACGCCACGTGGAGGGAGTACTGCTGGACCAGGATGCAGCCGTGGATGGCCAGCGCCGCCAGGCACGCCACGCCGCAGATGAGGAACAGCGCCGAGAAGCTCTGCACCCGCAGCCGTTCGGCCGGCTCCAGGTCCGCCGTGGACTGCGGCGACGGCCCGTTCGACAGCCACTTGTCGTGGATCCTCTGCAGGTCGCCGTTCTCCGACAGCGCCAGGATCGCCGTCGACAGGTCCACGGCCAGCGGCGAGTCACGCGGGAACGCCTGCCAGAGCCAGACCAGACCAAACAATTATCAGAAAGCACATCTGCAGCAGAACAACAGCTCATCGAGCTGTACGTATGCATGGCATGAGTGAAGGTGACTCACGAAGCCCCAGCCGCTTTTGGTGAACTCCGCGCCCACGATCGCGACCTTGTCGTGCTGGAGCAGGAAGAGCTCCACGTACGGACGCTCGTCGACGATGGCCACGACGCCTCCTTTGCGAGGGCCGAGGTCTAGCGCCGTCTTGTACTCGTCCGGGGTGCCCAGCGCCTTGAGCCTCGACGGGGAGACGCCCAGCTCGTGCACCAGGTAGTTCTCTGCGAAGGACCCAACCTGGAACCCGATGGGCTCGTCGCTGGCGATCAAGTCGTCGATGCCCGTGATCGGCGACGTCAGCTGCTGCACGGTGAGGATGGAGGTCAGGCTCGCGGTGTAGCTGGACTGGATGATCAGAACTACGAACAGCCAGATGATGATCACGAAGCGGCCGAGCGTGCTCCTGGTGTCCTCTCCTGCAAAAAAAAAAAAAGTTCAAGATGCAGAAATGACTCCTGAGCATGTTTGCGGAGTTTTGTCTTGATTCTTGTGCAGAAATGTAAAGACCTGAATTTCACTTACTGTGGGCAAAGAACAGAGTTGAGAAACTGAACCTGCAAAGAGCACATATATAGAAAGTATGTGATATTCGACAGACAGCCAAAATCTATGCAGAAGAAGCAGAGAAATGTTTTCAACAAGCAAAATTGATCTGCTTATCCTTCCAACCCGCCTTGTAAGATGACAGTAAGTTGATGGCAAACATTAAGGAAATTAATAAGCAAATGTAAATACATGTTAGACAGTAAGGACTCACCAGAAAACAGTAATAACCTGTTTCACTGGAGGACCACGGAACTCATCATTGATTCTGTGCTCGAGCAACCAAATCACTGTTCCTATGATCAGAAAGAAAATTCCTGTCACAGACCACATTCTGATGGTAAATGGCTGCAGGAAAGCCCATCCATTCGAGCTCTGTGTCTTAACAGCGGTAAGTATGACAAGCCCAGAACCAACGTATGGTTGGGTGAAATCAACAACTTTTGTCCGATTTGTGACAATAGCTACATCCCCAACAACAGCATCAAATTCCTAGAAAAAGAAAAACGACTATTAAAACATGACTCAGTGACACATACTAACTGTAAATGAAGGTTATTTCAGAAATAGAAAATAGAACTTACATTCGTCACAATTCGACTGATAAGTTCTGTGTAGCTTGGATTCTCACGGCCATTGCCAAAAGGTATAAACCTATATGTAACTGGGTATTGCAACAGGTTTATTGCAGCAGCAAACACATCAATACAGAAACCTCCCACCGTTCCAGTTTGATTGTCAACTGATACAAATTGACGGTAACTTACCCTATTGGGAACTCCAATTCTCAGCTCATTTCCATTGTTAGGGAACACCCATCCCCGGGGCCTCGTTACAGTCTCACCTGGCCAGATTGCAGCGTGGAGTTCCTGATTTGCACTGACATTGTATGGTTTCTTGTATAGTGTCTCAGGAGACACAATGGACAGCCCAGAATAGTTGGACCAATAACCAATTGTCCGCAAACCAGACCCTATTATGTTCACAATGTCATATGCAGGCTGGATAAGATTACCATCTGAATCCAACTTTACAGGGCCAGTTGCACCCATGAAATTTACTTTGCGGATTTTTTCTAGTAATAGCATCCCCTCATCAAAGACGCTCAATGCATCCAGATTCAAAGCTCCTCCTGCAACTGCACGCAGTCTGGGGTCTGGAGAGAAGGAAATGTTTCCGCCACTATTGAAAAATGCATCCAACCCATGAGCAAGCATCCAGACAGTGTCATAAGCATAAAGGCCATAGGAATTGAGCAAGCTGCCGCTGCTGCCACTATCCTCCTTCACTAGTTTACTCCATTGTGAAACTAATGTCTTCTTCCTATTGGTGTTTTCTGTGTGCTGACGCAATGTAAGAACACCCTGCATTGTGCTTAGTAATTCATTTTGAAGACGAGGAGCTGAATCGAGGTATGCAGTGAGCCAATCTGTTGCAATCCACACATATCCACCGGATGTCATGCTAAGATTATACGCTAGTGAGAACACGTCAATTCCAGAATCATCATGTGCATGCAGTACAAAAACCCGGGACTCCATCATCGCAGCCTTGACCAGCACAGCAGCCATTTCACTCTTTTTTGCTCCTGGCCTAATTGCAGCTTTATACAAGATCTTCAATCTCCTCTTGGCAAGCTCATCATCTAAGGAGGATATGCCATTTCTTCCATAATCGTCATCAATATATACGGCTGTCACCATCTTCCACCCATAGTAATCAATTAAGCTAGCAACAGAAGCCATTTGAAATTGATCACTGTGGACGGTACGCACAAAGAAAGGATACTGAAGTGGTGTCAGAGTCGGATCAGTTGCAGCAAAGGACATCAAAGGTACTTGGAGTTCATTTGCAACATGGGATATGACGTGTGCAACAACTGAAGATTGTGGGCCGATGATTGCGATTGTATCTTTCTCCATGAATTGCAAGGCTAAGCAAGATATAATAAAAGGATAAGGAGTCTGTCAGGCACCATGCGGATTGTATTTTTGTAATAAGACTTAGGCACCTCCAGTCAAAAATAGTTGACGTTTAGGACAAACTATGTCAACTATTGTTAACCGGAACCAGAAGGAGTATGTTTTATTGTCGCAATGGCAGAGAGGACTAGCTAAAAAAAGGGCAAGAGACATGAAAGGGGTACCTTGAACAATGCCGATGAAACCACTGTAGTTGGTATCTTGCATCTGAACAAGCAGCTTTGTTCCCCGAAGAACACTTGGATCTTTGTTGATGTCATTGACTGCAGCAGCGATGGCAACCTTGGCAACTCTCCCAATTGTCGAATCGAATGGAAAAAGAGCTCCAATGTTTACAACACTGGGTCTCACAGAAATATTTTGTCCAAGTGCACAGGACCACAAACAGCAGAAGATGCTCAAAATATGGAGCATGAACTTCATGATTAGTCCTGACTCCAAAGGACAGCTGGGGTATTCTTTAAGAGTCCATCCTCCTGCTCAACACCATATGTTCTGGAAGAACCAAAAGAAAATTTCAAGATGATGCATGTTTGGCAGATATTTTCGCTATCTAATGACTCGAGCCACTCATCAAGGAAAATTCAGGCATTTACATGATGAACTACAGACACAAATTACAAACTGGAACGAATATCAGGTATAGGGGGGGGGGGATATATTCCACATCAACATGAATTCAGGGCTCAAGAACACAAAAATGGACACTCATGGTGGAAAAAAACTGGGAATTCCATTCCATAAAAAGAAACAAAGAACAACTGGAAGGTAAAGCACCAAAACAAACTTAAAAACAGAGTTCTGATCCTAGAAGCTGTGGAGATTAAGCAACCTCTCACCTTAAGATTTGGCCATGAACTATCGGCATAACAAGCAAAATTAGAACATAAACCTAAGCATGAGCTGAGATGGGTTTGACCGCAGAATTCTCTATAATATGAGCTCGAGGGGCAAGAAGATCAGGTACGAAGGGGACATGGGACTATTTGGAGAAAACAACAGTGTGAATCCAAAAGCGTGGAGCATGCAGGATTCGCAAATAATTGCCCCCCGGAACCTCTTCCCTTTCTGCGCTTTCTTTTTTGTGAATTGAGGCATGGTTGCTCTTACCGTTGGCTCCGGAGCAGCTTAGTTGGCAGTTGCTTCCTCTCAGACTGCACGAGATAGGTGTGAGGGGCCGGTAGCCCGTGTGAACGAGAATAACCCTGTTGGCTCTGGAAGCTGCACGGTGCACGCCTCACCGAAATTCGTCTGGCTGTCATCGCACTTCTTGGCTCTTTGTGGCTGTGATCGCACTTCTTGGCTATTGCAGCTCAGGCACTGAATATTTTCCTAGATACTGGCTCCAGTTTGTCCTGTAAAGCATGATATTTGGAGTGCCTAAATATCACACAATGCCAACATGTTCTAAACAGATCAGCAAGACACAGATATTTTACTTCAGAAATTCAGGTCCTCACGTCGAACATGTGACTGGGAGTAACTCAGTCGCAGCTACATTCCACGTAACCTTTAAAAATGCGACTCCATACGTGAGCGTATCTGGGCATGTAGTACTCTCAGTAATACCTGAGGACACATCGAGCTTGTGCTCTTTTGGGTGGACTAGGTACCTTGACAACCCCAGTCCACAAACCTCCCCTGTAAAGGCCAACAGCAGCAACATCATCGGTGCAGCGAGTTGTCACAAACAATAGCCACGGAACACGACGTTGGGCCCGGCCATCACATCTATGAAAGAGAAATCCTCATCAAATTCCTCATTTCTTAGTCATTTGGTCTAATCGATCACTAATTAATTCTACTTAAGGGCCCAATTTTTCCTTTATTTTAATGCGTTTTCACCCAATATGTGTATTTTATACAATACTTAAGAGACACAGATGACAGAACGTTACCTCGAAAGTCAAAAACACGTGAGCATTATCGAAAAGCATACGTCCGGAACAACGAATAAATATATCACTATCCACCTGTTGAATTGCTTGAATAAGCTGAAACGATATTTCCTCTATATAATCGGCAATCAGGCTTACATCTTATATTAGTTGTAACAGAAATAACAGTTTCCTCACATAACCCTTTCAGCTCAAAATTGAAGCTACAACACCCAGACATTCATAAAGATAACACAAGGAAACCAAACTCCCAATGAGAACCACACAACAACCCAATGCTACCCAAACAAGCCAACGGCCTAATTCTTGGAGATTCGCTCTGAGTCCTTCTCAGGCCTCCATCCGCAACCTTTTGGAAGGTGTGCTGTCGCTAGCCCCGACCACCTCGATTTTTCCATTGCCTTCTACAATAGTTTCTACGGTGCTATTGTGTTGGCCGCCAAAGGTCCATCCAGGAAAATCTGATCCTAGAAATAAAGAAGTTGGTGTGGTTCTGTAGAATGCAAGGGGGACCTGTTTTATCCGCCGACGCACCTACAATTCAAAATTGAAAGACTGGTGAATTTTTCTGGAAAATTCCTAGTTATAATTAATAATGGACATGACAACAGATAATATGCAAATTCAGCTCTGGTTTGAACTTCTACAGAGAAGTCAAAGAAAGGAGATGGGTTCTAGCAGACACAAATTTAGACTATCAGACACCATCTAGCAATAGTCCGTATTTATGCATAAACCAGGCAGCCTCGTATCTTCTACCGCATGCTAATGGCAAATGCCAAAATTCTTCACTTCCTTCAGGTTTCAAAAGAAAACTGAGGTCATGATTAAGTTCCTGCAGTTTCTGCTAAAGTACCTGAAATTGCTACCGCGATCAAACCTTCCCTTTCAGCCCAATAGATGGCACAATTAACGTACTTCATGGCACAAAAATCATTAGGTAAAAGCAGTGAAATTTATGGTATCCCCCCCGCCTCCCCCCCCCCCAAACACACACACAACAACAAAAACGAGTACTAGACATCACAAATACATTAACTTTCACAACCGGACAAATTACCCCCCTTGACTATTCCAAAGTGGTTTTGCTGACGTGGCAGTGAAGCCCACATGTTAGGTGGTCTCTCTCTTCTTTCCCTCTCTACACGTGCCACCACCGCCTCCCTCATGAACACTTGTGAGCAACCGGAGATGCAACACTGTCACACGCCTCTGCCATGACTTCCCGTGCAGAGCTTGGAAGCTAGGCCGCATCCCACCAGGTGGAGAGAGAGAAGACGGAGATGGGAGCTCGGCCACATCCTGCCATGGCCGCGTAGATACGAGGAAGAAGCGCACTAGTGAACTGAGGAAGAAGAGCCCACGTCAGATGAGCTGGCCCATGCCGCCTTGAGGGCTTGTTTGGAAGCTCATGTATCCACCTCAATCCATGTGTGTGGGAGTGGTTTGATGTGGAATTTAGTTTAAAATCCACACCAAACCACTCCCACACACATGGATTGAGGTGGATACATGGGCTTCCAAACAAGGCTTGAGGAGGGAGAGGGAGGTGGAAGTGTTGCACAGAGGGAGAAGGCAGCAGACGTGCAGCATCGCAGGGAGAGAGAGACGAAGGTTAGAGATATGACCCAATATAGATGACATGGCTAAAACGAGGGATAGAGACATGACCCAATATAGATGACATGGCTAAAAAAACTGATGGCATGTATCACATGCCACGTATATGCCATGCCAGCCAAAACCACCTTCGAAACCACGTAATTTGTGTGGTTTTGAGAGATCAGGGATGTATATTGTTTGGTACTCAAGTTCATTTTTTTAAATCTCAGCGACAAGTTCCAGGGGGGAGGATGCAAATGGCATTGATTAAAGTATAAATGCACGAGGTGAAAAGTACTAACGCAGTGAAGGTGTACCTCGTCCCTGAAAACTGTTGCATAGGAACCTGAACTGAAGTCCGTTATTTTCATCTCAGTAGTTTTGGCCCGGACAGTGAGATCCTCCTCAAGTGATGCGACAAATCTAAGAGTACCACGAGAAAATGAGCACACAACAAAGAAAACTGCGTAGCAATCAGGACAGCAAGTTACTTTCCTATTACCTAGAAACTGCAGGAGAGTAATGATGGCGGAGCGTGTCTATTTCCCACAAAGAACTTCCTACACACAAACAAATATAACACATGATACAGAGGAATCAGTTCACAAAAAAATCATAAATGAATGTGTTATTGGCATAAATATGTAAACATGCAAGCATATCAACTTGCAGTTGCATCCATAAGTTATTATGGATGTAACTTCAGGCTGTAATTTAGAACTTGTCATTATCTAACCATGGCTGATAAATCATAATATATAATAGTCATTTAGTTTGGTCCAAAAAGTCATATCAGACGACATAGAATCAACCAAGGGTCATTTCATTTAAGTTCTCACCAGACAACCTGGATATTTTATAGCATAGGGCATAAACAGTGCTGAAAGCTCTAAAAAAAGGTGGGGGTCCAAGCAAGAGAATTTATAGCAGTCCACCAATAAAATTCTAAATACTAAAGCTCATACAATACCGATTTTGATAGTAAACATGCTTCCTCTAAAGTTTTTTTACTAAAAAATAATGAATCAAAACTCAAAAGACAGAAAATTACATCAGCATCATAAAGCAATGAGCCAAAAGAATGAAGCTACATTTCTTCTTTTAAGAAAAATATAAAGGGCGTACCCAGTGCAGAGAGCTCCCGCTCTGTGCGGGGTCTGGGGAAGGGTGTCAGTGGCAAGCCTTACCCTCGCCTGTGCAATGCGAGGAGACCGCGACTCGAACCCGGGACCTTCCGGTCACAGGCGGTAAGACTCTACCGCTTGCACCAGGCCCGCCCTTCTTTTAAGAAAAGTATAGGTTCCATAATTAATTTTTCAAGGTAGGTTGATGAGGTCAGTATATACCAAAAAAAGGGATGAAGTTTACAGTTCTACTGCTTTCTATTTCAGAGTTATAATTCTTCCTATTTCAATCTCATTATCGTGAAATCCTTAATCTGACCATCAAGTTAAAAAAAAACATGCTTGGGAATTGACAGTAGTGTAACTTGAGCTCAAAGAAAGATTTTTAGGTGATTGCTTGTCACTCTGAACTGCAAGGAAAACAACCGAAGAAAAAGAAAAGGATGAGATAACATCTGTTTGATATGACGAAATACTTACGCATTGCACCAGACTTTGCAGGGTCTGCCTCATTATTGTTAAAAGGATCAGCACCAATCTTCTTAGATTGACTAGCTTCTCCTGTGGCATTGCTATCACTCTCATCAACCTCCTGAAAGGAATTCCAGAGCATAAAAATTAGCTTGTGAAACAGCAAAAGGAAGATTGCACGGCTGAATATGCTACCAATGTAGCTCAAAATCAGCCCAGTGGACAGTGGAGTATGCACACTTGGATCAATCAAGTGTCCTACACATCCAATACAACTATAAAAAAATGGTGTAGCAAGTAACATACCCAATGGACCAAGAAATTAACTGAGGGATGTCTCCGCAGCAGATTATGAATTAAAGCAATAATAATAAGAGCTCCAGCTGGAGGAACTGAAAGAGCAAGTCTACTCAATCTTTTTGCAAATGCAGCAGCAAGATATGCAGGAAGATAAGAAGATTTCAGGCATGTGTCAAGAAGCTGCAAGAAAACAAGTCAAATGTCAGCAGATAGCCATAACTAAATGGTAAATAAAATAATAATGGTTACAGAAAGATAAAAACAAAATCTATTTCAAGATTCAGCAGCATGTATTATGGATATTTGCTCCTTTTCAATCATAAGTGTTGTCCACAACTAGACTAGCAGTGGACACGAACTCAAAGGTGTTTCCCACGGTTTTCAAGCATCAGGATTAACTAATAAACTACAAGTTTAGCCTACTATAATTCGTAGGTAACTTGCACATGGATAATTCTTTCTGCCAGCTGCTAGAGTCCGCATTAAGATGGCCATGATTGTTCCAACTGAAAAATAGTTCCAGACAAAGATGGCAAACTATCACTGTTATAAGGCCTGAATGAGATGCTCTGGAGCAGCATTTATAAAATACGAAGTTGTGGATGGCTGCAGGCCTTGATATTTTTCCCATAGTGGAACTTTATGATATTTTTCCGCTCACAGAAGTTGATTCATCATAAAAAAAGGGTGATCTGGGTGATCTACCATACTCGGAGAGGCACCATAATGTGGCAGTCATACTTTTTTTTCACTTACTTGCAAGAACACTGACCGGTGTTTTGCCATGAAAACAGCAGGAGTCAGTAGTGCATAAAGCTTTTCATAGAATTTTGGATACTCCAGACCGTGTTGTGTCATAAGAATGAAAAGGCCACTTAAGGCCATCACACTGATAACACCACCAATATCATATGATCTAGTCAAGAAATCACTGCAGCAGAAAAAAAAAGAGTTATACATATGAGAAGATTTATGTCAGTGAAATGTTGAACTGAAATGCAAATAATACGGAAATCGTACAACCTACCATAAGATGGAAGGGTTTGACATTGAAGGAATGACATTTTGATGAATTGAAGCAAGGACCTGCAAGGCCCCAAAAAAAAAAGGCATAGCCAACAATGAAGAAACTGCTTCATTGCTTATACAATGAAGCACCTAACTACTTAGGAAGCAAAATTTATCATCTGCTTCATTGTACTTATCATCTGCTTTCTAATGAGTGCTCGTAATGTAGATTAGTGAAAGCAGATGATAAATATTTTCATCTTCCTAAGTACTTATATTGTTACCAGACCACAATGTGCTAGACTACACATAGGATTAGAAAATCATTGCAGCAAGGGCTCATAATTCAGATACAACAGTAACCATATTTATGTCTTTCAGGGCAAGAACAGCTTTACCTCCTTGTACACATCAAGTGGTAGTGGTAACTTGAGAAAAGACAGCCATGCTTTGGTGAACTTCAATTTTAATTTTTTCTTGACGTAAGTAGAAGTGTCCTAAATAATTCCATCAGTTAATACCCAGAAAATTTGAGCTTAAGCTAAAAAAATGCCAGTTTATTTGTGGTATATATGATGAAGTACCTTGGAAGAGTCCTTTTCTCCTTTAGAAGACAGCCCTTCATCAAAAGTACAAAACCAAAAGGCAAGAGTAAGAACACTAATCACACATTAGCGCATATACATACGTGGGCTCATAAAAGCATAATATTAAAGCCATTTTATAATTTAAATGAGAATAATTTTGTAGGTTCACAGGAATACATGAAATTACTATTGTAAATGAGAGGAAAGCTTATGTTGAAATTTGGCTTATGCTGAAATGTTGTGAGAGAAAAATACTGTTCCATGGCTGAAAAGTAGTGCTGAATAAGCTCAAGCGAACAGGGCCAATAAATTACTCACCAACAGTACTCCACATATCAAATGATGATTCCTTTTGAAAATCCATCGAAGGAACATGTGCCAAAAGATTGTATATGTTGTGTACAAAAATACTACTTCTGTTATGTAAGGAGAAGAACATCATAAGACATTAAAACTATACAGCTTTGAAGATGTTCAAAGGCATCAAATATAGCAACAGCCACAGGGTCACAGGGGTTGTATGGGTTCCAATCTTTCAGCTGAGAAGTAAGACAATGCATGATCATGCTTTAAATAATCCACACCAATGACCATAACCTACGGATTGACTTTCCAGACCCAAAACTATAACACCACAAGGAACAAACCTTTGCTAAATGGCTAGAGTGCACAAGCGCAGGATGAAATACAAGCAACAAATCCACGATTCCACGCTAATTGCCGAAAACCAAGAAGCTAGTACTGGAACAATAACACCTACACACAAGACTTTCCTACCCACGTTCTTTACAAGGAAGCATGAGTTGCATGCATTTTTTGTGCATAGGTTTGTAATAATCATTAAATTTGGCACAGAAATGCAATTTTCTATGGTCTCATTGTGAGTCCAAAGTGTGAGCTTCGCTGAAGTTGTTTCTGGAAGCATTAAACTAAAGGTCTACAGCTTAAGATTTAAGACATATAGTATGTAAAAGAAAGTATACCTGTTTTCTGACCCATCATTTCCATTTTGCATGGCATCTTTTCCAGAGCCTGAATAGAACAACAATACAGTTACAAATTAGTAGAGATGTCAAACTATGCAAGTGTTTTGATGGTCAAACAAAGAAAGAACAAAAAACAAAGACTGAAGACTACCAGTGGTTTTACTGCCCAGACTGTTGGCAATCTTGTCTAAGCTAGTGTAAGTAAAGTAACTGCAGAAGCAATGGTATGGTGAAAATAAGTACATATTGAGAAAAATGCCAGTAATACAATTGAAAAATTGAGCACATCCTACCAAACATCAGTGTATTTGAAGTACTTTGATCCAAGCAACTCTAACAACGTATCAATGGGATCAGCAGCATGAACCTGTAGAAAGAATGGGAACAGATAAGAGCAAACCCTAGAGCAATAAACAGGAGATACATAGTCGCTAATATTGAGTTGGCAGCACGGTTACTTGAGTAGAAACAAACAGAGATTTATATCAATTAAGAAACAAGCTCAACTCTGACACAACGCAAACCTCCCCAGCAATAAGGGGAAACTATACATTTCTAAGGCAAAAATCGAACATCTGTAATGCTATAATTGAAGAGAAACTCACGACAGCGTAGAGAAACTTGTGGTAAATTGCCGATTGGAACTTCCCGTCCTTCCCCAGCTTCACGAAATCCATGAGAGCATCCAGCGCTACATCCTATACAGCACAAAAGGTACGCGACTAAGAGTAAAGCCAAATTGTTTGTTCAACTATTTACTCGACACACCCAGAGAAGATGCTAGTAATGCTATCGAAGTTCACCCTGATTGCGTCATCGCTGTGTGGAGACACGCTGAGCTCCACCAGCGCAGCAACGAGCTCGTCGAACCGCTGCCGCAGCCAGGCTCCAAGCACGAGCTCGGGGTCGCTGCCAGCATCCCCCGCGGTGGCTGCCGCAGAGGCGGAAGGGATGGATGGGATGAGTGGTACGAAGAAGGACTGGAGCGAGATGAGCGCCTCGAGAGCGACGTCGAACGGCGCGGTGGGGGAGAGGAGCGCGAGGAGGGCGGGGGCGTGGTTGAGGTGGGCGCGCGACGAAAGGAGCTCGGTTCCCAGCTTCTTCGCCTCATCTAGGGTTAGGGTCCCGCCTCTGGAACGCCGCTTCTTAGAGGCAGACACGGTCGCCATGGCGGGAGGGGTGGGAAGCGGCGGCGGCGGCGAGGCAGGGGGAGGAGGTGAGTTCTGGGGTTTATGGACGTAGGTGCGGCTTGTCAGTCCGGCCTGTGTAGAAAAAGCTAAGCTACGCGCGCGTCCAGTATGAATGAAGTGGCCCAATGGAGGCCCGTCTAGCGATAGCCCACACACGGCCAGACTAGAGAATTTGGAACGCGGCACAGCTCCCTGTATTTTCCGTACTCCGTAGACGACGAGTCCTCTTTTTTTAAGTGCGGTAGACGACTCCTCTGCCCTCTGGAGTGCGTGTGTAGTGACTAGTGAGCGTCTATATATCCATAAAAAGAAGCATGCTCGATGAAACAAGCAGTAATCGACCATGCATCCATGGTGATAGTTACCGGATAGTGTGAATGAAGTTTACTGATTTTATCCAATCGAAAATGGAACTGTGGTGTTTAGCTGTTCGTGCGTCTTTGGTGAGATCTTATCGTCTAGAGGTTCAAAGAAAGCATGCAAATGAAAAACGTTGAGTTCCTTTAAAGAAATATATTGAATCGCCATAATTGATGCTGTTGTGGCTATATCCCCGGATCAGCCTTAACAGCTCTGCTCATTCAAAGAGTAATTCCATCTGCACCTATGCAACCGAGTGATCCATCCAAATGACCAAATCCTAAACTGATGCTGTGATGCAATTTAATGCTTGGCTTACCATGCTTAGCTGCACATCCAGGTAAAACATCTAAGAAGCAAAAGAGACAGAGCTTGAATCTTCTTTGTTCCGATGAGATGCATAGCAATAGCGAAGTTCTAGCAACAGCAAAAGCGTCAAGAAAGTGCAGCTATTTGCTTGTCTTACAGATGAAACTTATCACTTATTCACTTATCAGTCAAGTCAGCGATTAACATTGGAACCTATGTTAAGCAGTCATGAGTCATATTGAGGTACAAACGAAATTAGCCTGCCGAAGTTGGCATCAGAAAAAACTATACACTAAATAAAAAAGGTTAGGGGGCCTACCTTTTGACTAATTCTAAATCAAAATACACGGAACCTTTTTTATGTATCAGTGATCTCGCATCCTTTTCTTGACTCTCAGCATGCTTTATCGCCTTAACGGTGCGACCATGAAAGACTGCAAAATGAATACTAATTACGATGAAGACACAGCAACAACAGCATGCCGGAAACCAGCTTAACCTCATACCGTTTGAACTGAGTGTAGGATATCGTACCTGCAATTTTGTGGCACCCGCCAAGCAGATATCTGCAATCTTTTCAAATTTGGGGGCAAGGACAAATAACTCCTCCAATCCTCCATCATAATCCTAAGATCATGAATCTTGCTTCGCAACCCAATGCAACAGTTAGCATGCATAGTGCAGACTTCGTTCAGATCTCTGCTTGGTTCACAGAACCCTCCAAAGTACTTTGTACTCAGAAACTTAATTGTCAATCCAATGTCTACAATGTAAGGATCATGCTTTATAGCATTGAATACATCCTGATCATGATAGCCAGGATACCTCAATCTTGACGAATACCAGAAACTGTAAAACTCTATGCTTCTTTCATTTGATTTCACATAGCTGAAGCCTCCATTAGCAATATTTCTCAAGTCAGTTGCATTCCTGACATAGTGATCGCATGCAATCTGAAAGTCTACATCAGGATAGAAATGTGGGAACGGATTGCGAAACCACATAATGTCTGCATCCTGGTTTTCAATGAAAACGAAAGAAAGATAAATAAGACTACCAAATTACTTTCATTTCACATATTCAATAATGCATGGGGTCATATTTCACAGACAAACGACACCTGAATCTTTCTCATTTGCAAAATGGGAATAACTAGTCATCAAGTTAAGTTATTGTATTGCAGAATTTACCGAGAATATGAAGTTGTAACCTTTTTCAAGAACCAGCCGCAAGAAATCTAGCCTTCTCCACATCATTTCAAGATATCCTAAAGTCAAGAACCTCTTCTCTTCAGAGAAATCCACACCCTCGGTTCCCAGAGCAAAGCAGTAGGGATGGATTTTGACACATTGCTCGTATGCTTTCCAATCAAATGCTACAATTACAAGGTGTTTCAACAGCAAATTTGTTCTGACACCAGAACGGAAACTATCGATGAAAAGGTCTATCACTGACCCAGGAGAAGCCCATGCAGCATTAAGTGTAGTCAAGATAACTGTATTGTCTCGCATTGAAGCCTTCTTTAGGACTCGCTCAAGTTTGAGATCTTCACTGTCCTATAAAGATCATTATATATTAACTGGAAACCAATAAATAAATGAGCAAAGTGACTTATCCACTGGCTATAAAAATCAGCAATGCAAAACTAAAACAAAACAGATCTTCTGAGAGAGAGAAGTAGCAAGACTTCAGCATGATCACTACTTAGTAAGTTCTCATAAGCCTAGTTCACCATTTCATTTGCCATTACAATCAGCATTTTCCATGTGAACAACCAACATCAGTTTTTTTTTTGCGAAGGCATCAATCCGTACTTTAAAAAGAGTGAATGACAAAAATGACCAGCAGCAAACATTAATAAACTTAGTCATTTAGCAAGATTCAAATAAAGTATCTAGAATTAAAAAAAATGTTCCAAGACACAGTAATTTATTCCAGATGGATATACAGTCCAACTGACACCGAAAATACAGTAGAATGAGATGAGTATTGTATCGGTCTTCCATTTTTCGATCTATGGCATCAAAAGGGGTTAGTTTAGATGGAGGAAGCATGTTTCGTTAAAAAATCAACGTGCTCATGTACACTTTTAATGTACTAGCCGATCCAAAACCACGGCCAACAGATTTGAGTCGCCGCTCTCTCCTCTCTTGCAGAGAACTGGTTTCAGTTGCTTCATCCCAAGGTAAGCCTTCCGTTTCCAAGACATTAAGTGAACAAACATATGGCACAACCGCACAACCACGAACTTCAATTGTCCAATAACTCAGAATGTCAATGTCACTATGCTTAAGAACTCTCAATCATACAGAACAGTGAAACACCAAATCATCAGCATTAATAGAAGGTAGAAGCAAGCGGGTTCACCAGATCGTCGCTTACGGCGCCCTCCTCCTGGGATGCGGCGAACGAGGGCAGCGAGTCCCACCCCCAGGAAGCCCCCGGCGAGCGCCAGACGGCGGCGCGGTATAGCACCGCGAAGGGCAGCGCGACGAGGGTGGCAAGGAAGAGAGCGGCACCGGATCTTCGGAGCGCGTGCCTCGGGAGGCCACGCGAGCGCGCCGCGGATGGGGGCGCGCCCATCAGGGCTTTGCGCGCTGGCCTGGCCATGTCGGGCCGGGAGAGAACGGAAGTACTAGTACTACTGCAGTTCAGTGGCGGCCCCAGCGCTCTCGAGCCGTAGCGCGGGCGGTTGCGGTTTGCGGAAGTGGAGATTGTGAGAACCGTCGGAAATATGTGGTAGTGCAAGGCTGCAAGCAACATCGCACGTTACAGGCCGGGAGCAACATGAAACACATGCCATGCCGGTGAGGAGGAACACGGAATATGGAGCCGCATGCTCTGATCTCTTCTCCCAAGCCCCAACTGCAGTCTGGGATTACACGAACAGTGTAACAGAGAGAGAGACACAACATGATTTCATTCGTGCGAGTAGATAACAAAATGATTTCATTCAAAAGCCTGAAGTCACCATATGTGACATGTCCATTAGCTTCGGCTGACAAGTTATTTGTGCGCGCTACATTGTAGGAAGCTAGCTATACCTAAGATCTAGTATTTGGAGCCAGGGAAAAAAAAAATCTGACGATTCAGACCCATTCGAACACAGACTGCTACAACTCCATTTCAGTTTCACCTGTAGCTGCATGGCTTCCTACAAATGCGTGCATCTCCCTAAACCATTTTCCGTAGATTCAGGAAAATGCAGGAGAAAAGGAGCCTTTGAGCATCAGTTCCAACTGACTTCTTTTGCTTCTCATCGTTGGAGTCATCAAGCTTCCTCTTGAAGATATCTGAATTGCGAAGCCTCTCCCTTGATTCATGCGCTGTTGGTATCCCCCTATTCTGTCTGTCGCCCTGGACCAAATGACAAAGGACATCACTTAAGTATAAGTGAGCAGAAATTTCATGATGCTAACATGTACAGTTCCTTGCACTGTACCATTCCGATTGAGCCTATCTTGTTTCCAAGGTGGCCATCCTTCTCTTTAGCAGCACTAGGAGAGATGAGCTTCCAAGCTCTCTCGATGAACTTGAAACTCTCGATATCACCACTTCTGATGCCTGCTTCTAGCTGCAAGGGAAAGAAAGCATTTCAGTACAAAAAGAAGCAACTTGCTCAAATGGTTTTAAGGAACCTCAACCACTGACCTGAATATGTAAAATGCAGAAAAGATGCTAGCAATAGGTAACCAGCTCTCATCAGGTGACAGCGATAAGTTAGTTCTGAAAAGGAATATCAGTGTTTATCAGTGAACTTAGAAGGCATTATGAAGTCAATCTCCAACACAGGGACCAGAAAGAAAACAGCAAAATTTTGTTTTTTTTTATGACTAACCAGAAACATTTGTGCACTGTAGAACAGTTAGTATTACAGAACAAGAGCAACGCATAAGTACACGGAAATGACAATTACAACACACAAAAAAAATATTATTTCACTGATAGTTTAAGTAATTTATCACTCCAATTCGTTCAGAAGAACCTACTGAACAGGTGCACAACATTATATATACTACTAAAATTGAAGTAGATATAGGACACTGGGCTGCCAGCAATACCCGTGAAAGGCACTGCAGAACAGTTCACCTTCAGCATAACCATTGCTTTGATAACTTAGCCAATAATCGCAAACACTAACAGTCAGCTTTTGCGAATTCTACAGATCGAATAGCACATGTAAGTATTTTTTTTCCCAGCAAAAGATGCTCCTTGGACAGCAACAGTCACAGACAACTAACAATAGACGGGTGTAAAGCTACACAAGCTTGCAGAAGCAAGTCTGAAGTAAACCAACATACCAGAACGCAAAATCAACTGATACAAAGCATAACAAAGGCGACAGAAATTGGTCTCTAAGGATTCAGAATTACAAACCACCTAAGGTACGGAGCCAAATAGACGGCAGCATAGACCAGTTACCGCCGCCTCCCGCTGTCCAGCCACGCAAAGATCCAGCTCTAGTTGCACGAACAGAAGACCGAAAATTCCATGAGATCACAGCAAAAATGGAGAAGGAGAGCACTGAACCCTTGGGCCTCGCTCACCAGCCAGTTGAAGTAAGGCAGGAAGGAGATGATCCCCATCACGGCCATCCTCGTGTCCGTCGCGCCAAAGCCAAACCCCCTTCATCCTCCACCTCCTCGCCCGCCTCCCCTCGGGGTCTTGGAGGGGGCAGCACGAGCGAGGCGAGCACGCAGGCGCCGATGGCGGCCGCGAACGGCGCGTCCTGCTGCAGGTCCGCGCGGCAGGCTAGCGCCCGCCGCCTGCGCCAGGGGAGGAGCGGGTTCGCCCCACAGGCGCCTCCATGGGAGGCACCCAGGGGAGAGGCGACGCGCGGGAAGCGGCGGTGGCGGCGAGCATCGGGGTTGGCGTCGCGGGGGACAGCGGCTGCGAGCAAGCAAGCAGGGTTGGTACTGGTAACCGGTAAGGTAAGACTGTCTCCGACAGCCCATCAAAGGCGACGCAAACCCAAAATATATCATGCACAATGTTTTAGCCGAAGAAAACCGGCCTCCAACAAAAAAAAAAAAAACACAAACAAAGCATGCATTTTAGGTACGAGACCAACCGAAACGCTTATTTGCGTCGTTTTTCTCCAAGACGCAAAGTCTTCGGCGCCCGTAGTGGTGGGCTCATAGGAGGCGTTGGGGTGGAGCAGTGGTGGGTGCCAGGCAGGACCGCGGCGGGCGTGGCTGACTCGGCGAGGCGAGCTCGCCATGGGAGCACCTTCGGAGCCGCCGGCCTTGGCTGCCTCGCCGGATCTAGGACCGCTCCCCCGCCACCGGTGATGAGCAACACCGCGTGGGGAGCAGGGTGTCAGGCGGAGAGGTCATCGCCAGCCACCTCCGGATCTCGCAGGAGGGAGGAGGAGGCTGCAGAGGGAGGGAGCTCGCCGGCAGGGAGGGCCCGGACGACGACGACGACGGGCGGGGGGGGGGAGGCGGCTGCGGCGCTTCGGGAGAGAGAGGGGAAGGCGGCGGCGTGAGGCAGAGAGAGGAGGAGGGAGGAGGAGAGCTTGGAGGGGAGGGAGGGAGGAGGGAGAACTGGCTACAGGGACGGACGGACGGGTGCTCGAGGACTCTTCCTTTGCCTTCGCTGTTGGAGAAGAAAGGTTTTGGGTCGATGACTTATTTGTTATGCAGAACCCAAATTCTAGAGTGGGTTGGGATAGTCTGAGGACAGTCATTTCCGCCTTTACCGAACCGAAATATCTCCTTAACGGAAGAAGCGCGAATAGAACGGCCCAAATCATCGGCGTGACAGTATTCCATTGGGCCTGGTTGTTCAAGGCTGGGCTAGCCTCGCTTTGTTCCCGATCAGGCATCGAGCTGCAGCCCAAAGGACTTGGTCGCGTTTGATTTTTCTTTTTTTCCAAAGTTTGACTTGTTCACCGTAGCCGGTGGGTAAGGAGACACTGTGTTTACTATTTAGGCATTTTCAAGGTTGCGCTTTTTCATGGATAAAGAACTCCTTATCCCGCCATGAAACAAGTCGGCTTATGCCTCTCGGTGGTCCTTCATTTGCCCAACCACCATGGCGGAGAAATCTCACGCAGATGGCTTTAAGCCGGGAGTAGCCTTTTTGGGTTCTGGGGGTTGGTTCGTTGGTCGCTTTTCTAACCTAGACGCCGAGTAGTGGGTGGCGATCAACCAGCGCCATCATCACCACCACGTCCTCCCGCGAATCCTCATCAATTCGGCACGCCACCGTGCGCCTTCCTTTGCCTTGCCTCTCTCGTCGGCTCGGGCGGGCGACCAATCCATCGAGCTCACTCACGTCAAACCAAAGATGCGCCATCATTTTCCTTCGATGCGCGAAAGAGCCGCCCGTGACAACCGACGAGGACGAGGAGGAACGAGCACATGGCCGTCGGTGTCCGCCCACGCTTTTCCTTTCCCGCATCGATCGGAACTTTTCTTCCAAGCGCTGCTCAGTGCTGCTGCGGTCCTTGACGAAGAGGAGAGTATCCTATCGGCGCAGTGCAAGGCGAAGTACGGTGGATGTGAGTCTTCTGCTATGACCGCAGATGAACCTTGGGACTTGAGGAGGGACTCAGTAGTTGGGCCCATTATTCCATTGTGGCCGGTTGCGTCGGTGGAGGCCGACGTCACGGGCTTCCTTCAGCCTCCGGGGACTTGAGTATCTACTTTGTTGCATAAAACTGGCGTGCTTCGTGGGGTGGCATTAACCGCTGCTGCTTCCTGCAAGCTCCCGCTGCTACTCAATCCTCGCCTGCTCCTCCACTCTCGCGTCAAATGGGCATTCAATTTGCAGTGCTTTACGTACTGTTGTTCTTCTACAATGCTCTAGCCTGAGGAAGGAACCCGGCAAGTGTAGGAACTGGAAGAGCTCGACGATAATAGAGAGGGCTATGGCCTATAGGGTCAATCCTCCCCGCCATGGCTCGGCGAAGTTGCAAGTTGCTGCCGTTTAGCCTGCGGCGCGAGTACATCTGCTGTAGATTCATCGAGGACTGTACCGTCTGTACGAATCGACTTTTTGTTTTTTTATAGATACATAGAAGGATCTACTGGCCATAGATCTAGCATGTACACTAGTATTTAGGATAAAATAGTAAAACTCTAAAACATGGTCTAGTGTGAGGAAATAGAGATAGAGTAGGATACGGGTGGCAAACCATCGGCCGCCTTCCGCCACGCTTTTCCGGGCCAAGCCATCGAAACTTTTCTTCCAAGCGGCAATTTCTCGGTGGTGGAGACTCGGTGGAGGTGCCCTGGTGAAAGAAAGGAGAGTAGACATGGCGGCGTTGGCGGGTGGTGGATGTGAGTCTTCTCGGCAACGTCCCCTCACTTAGATCGACTTAGGGTTAGAGGTGTCGGGGGGGTGTATGGCGGCGCAGGTGATTCTCGTGCCTTGTGCCCTAGCCCCTATCTCCCTTTTTATGGAGCTGTGCGACGGGTACCCATGAACCATGAAGCGGTTGGGCGCCCCCAATCAGGGCACGGATCCAAGGGCTAGGCCAATTAGTGGAGATCAATCCAACATTCTCCCCCTTGATTTCACCTTATGACATAAACTCAACTTACTTGCTTTATCTTGTTCCTATTCCATCATAGATCAATGCATAGAGCGTGCCTCATCGTTACGGTCTGTTGCCATTAGATTGAACAGCTACAATGCACATCTCTATTTTTGAAACAGATTCTCAATTAGATCCTTATTGTTCAAGAATCATATGCTTTCCCTTAAATCCATGCCGGCTAAGTGTTCTCTGAACACGCTGGGTGATATGCCTTTTGTAAGCCGATCCGCGAGCATCTTTTTTGTTCTTATATACTCAAGACTAATTATATGATCCCGGACTTTATTTTTCACAACATAATACTTTATGTCAATGTGTTTGGCAGCCCCACTTAACTTGTTGTGAACATAACATACTGCTGGATTATTATCGTAGTATAACTTGAGTGGTATATGTATGTCGTCTACCACTTTCAACCCGGACATGAATTTCTTCAGCCAATTCACCTGCCCTATGGCCTCATAACATGCTACAAACTCAGCATACATTGTGGACGATGTAGTGACGGTTTGCTTTGAGCTTTTCTATGATATAGCTCCTCGTGCGAGAGTGAATATGTATCGACGTAGATTCACCGTCATCTCCCGGATAATCGTAATCAGATAATCCCTCTATATGCGGGGAATGGAGATCTTCAGACGTTAGCATCGAGACCCTTGATCTCACCTTGCGTGTAACGTAAAACTTTTTTACTAATTTTTGTTGTTATATTCTCAAGACGGATTACTATGATATCCCGCCAAGTAACCCGGTAACAAATGCTAAGTCAGGGCGAGTACACACTTGAGCATACTGTAAACTTTCGACAGCTGAACTATATGAAACCGCTTTTATTTGATCGATCACATATTGGTTTCTAGGACATTGAAATTTCCCATATCTATCACCCTTGACTATGAGAGTAGGTGAAGACTTATAATTTTGTATGCTGTATTTCTTTAGAACTTTTTCTAAGTGTGCCTTTTGTGATAATCCTAAAACCCCTTTTCTTTATCTCGGTGAATCTCTATTCCTAAGACGAACGAAGCTTCACCAAGATTCTTCATATCAAACTTCGAGGACAAGAACTTTTTTATTTCTAGTAGTAGATTAACATCACTGCTAGCGAGCAAGATGTCATCCACATATAAGGCTAGGAAAATATATTTCCCATTCTTGAACTTTTCATAAACGCAATTGTCCTCTGCATTTTCTTGAAACCCAAACTTTCTTATTGTACTATCAAACTTCAAATACCACTGTCTTGAAGCTTGTTTTAATCCGTAAATGGATTTCTTCAGGCGGCATCCCATACGTTATTTTCTTTCCACAACAAAACCTTTAGGTTGTGCCATGTAAACATTTTCCTCCAGATCCCCGTTTAGGAACGTCGTCTTTACATCCATCTGATTTTATTCTAAATCGTAATGTGCTACAAGTGTCATTATGATTCTAAAAGAATCCTTACATGAGACTGAAGAAAATATCTCATTATAATCTATACCTTCTCTTTACGTGAAGTCTTTCGCCACAAGTCGTGCTTTGAATCTTTCTATATTCTTTTTGGCTTCTTGTTTGGTTTTGTAGACCCATTTACAACCTACTGTCTTGGCTTCTTTAGGAATTATTTCTAAGTCCCAAACTTCGTTGATTTTCATTTATTTCATTTCATCTACCATGGCTTCAAGCCACTTTGATGAGTGAGCGCTTCTCATGGCTTCTTCAAATGAGGTAGGATCACCCTCTATTTGAACTTCCTCACATTCATAAACTTCGTAGTCATCAGGAATGACTGATCTCCTGACTCTTTGAGACCTTCGAGGGGCCTCGTTAGATGGCGCTTGTTCTATATGAGGCTGTTGTTGCTCCTCCTCATGTGTGACAACAGGTTCTATGGGATCCTGAACGACAGGTTCCTCATGTTCATTCATTGTTGCCACAGGAGAGCTAACATCAGGAGTTGTTGCTACAGTGTCTTGCACTGTTGGTACAACAAGTAGCGTGAAGAATGGTTCCTGAACCATTGGAGTGGGCACGTATACTTGCTTCTCTTCCAAATTAATTTCTCGC